CCCCATCAGGCATATTGGGTGTCTCCACTAGTTTATACCTACTAGGCTTGTTCTATGTAGGGTTAGAAAATGATCTTAGTTGTCCCATTGGTACGGAGGGTACTTGGTTTGATGACGCCGATAGAGCATATATTATTGTCACGTTCGGTGGTACAGCTTGCAATAGGGTGACATTAACTGGCCCCTGAATATTGGCACTGGAATTGGCCACTGTTTCTAACATCCAAGATGACTACATATTAATAAATCTTTTTCATTTATATTTTCACCATATGGTCGTGTTACAATACGAGAATGGGAAGTTTTTAGCAAGCCTTATTCAAACTATTGGACATACAACTTGTCATCTCTATAGCCTTCTATTTCCAAACAGATAAATAAATACAGCATGTAAATTAGACCTTGAAAGATATATTGCAGACATTTGTTGAAGTTCATTATAATGACTAAGATGAATACTTGACATCCTTAGAGTTTGCTTACAATGATAGTATTCAAGCAAGTATCAACCATTCTTCATTTTTTCTTAACACCAATCAGCATCTAATTATGCCAACAATTCTACATTGTTATGTTGATACCAATAAACTAACAACACAGGAGTTTATACAATGGCTTATAATAATCTTATAAGAGGTACAACACCACTTCTTTATTCCATAGAATCGATAGAAGCAATATGTGGATAACCACTCATAATACAAGACCTTTCAGAAAGGTGATCAAGTGTTATTCTCCAATGCCAATTTGCCATTTGTTACATTAACCCAAATCTGTAAACTGACACTTCGATGGCTTAGACCTTTCTGCATTTCTCGAATGAATTCTGATGTCACATACTGCCTCAAGCTTCTACCACATATTTAGGTCCATCCAATCTTCTATATTTCACAATTAAAGGAATTTCATACCAAGCCAAAGCACTTTCTAGATCGACACTAACTACCACTACCATTAGATGTAGTTGATGACCAATAAGAATATGAAGTAGATAATATTTTGGAGCATCGCTACCTTCACCATGGTAGTAGATATCTATAACTTTAGTATAAAGTTCTTTAGGAAGGCTATTCTATCTACTATGCAATGTGAAAACCTGTATATAATCTCATCCATTACCAAGAAACAATTTGGAGATACCATCAAGAGCAAAATGAGGACATTCTGCATTAGTGGAAAGGGCTTAATTGTAACATGGTATAAAAAAGATATTTATATTATTGATATATAAGGATAGATAGTTAGAACTATATTTGAGAAATTATAGAAATTTCTAGAATTGGGATTAGATTAGTGGATCAAGTAGGATCCACCAAAGAATATTTCAGAAAGAGTTTAGAGCAGTTATTTAAGTGGGATCTACCATAGAACCTTCTAAAAGGAATTTAAGGCAGTTATTTAAGTAGGGTCCATCATCTAGGAACATTCTAGAAAGTCTAAGGTGGTAGAACAAAGTATAGATAGGACTAATTAGGGCCTATTGAGTATTTGATCAAATATAGCTTTGAACCCTCTCTCTTAGTAAAGTCTAATTTTATATCTTTCTATTCAGCTTTGTTTTATTCTATTTTTGTTAGCACAATTTTGTCTTCCATGTCCTATTTTGTTTAGATTTGTTCAATTTTTTTCTCATCCATTTTTTCTTATTTTGTGATAAAATTTTATATTATTATAGATTAAAAGAGTCTTAGACTCTCAAGATAGACTAGTTCTATTTCAAACTAGTCTAGATCAAACAAAATTTGGATGTAAGATACATTAGAGCTTTGGAGGTTGGTTGGAGATTTTTTGGCATATGAATCCATGAAGAAATGCCAAATGTTGTTTGTTTGGCCATTCATCTTCTAAGAATACATCAAGTAGTATATGATCTAAATGATGAAGCAATTACAATTTTAGAACGTATTGAAAGATAAAAGATAATATTAATTTCATTTTTTGAAACATATGCAACAATTGAAGCTGTAAGATAATATACATACTAACAATTTTCACAATATTTTGTTTGGCATAAAACAAAGACATAGATATTAAAAAAATATAGATTTACTATTAAAAGATTATATTTTATAAATCTTACAATAGAAAAAAGATATTATTTGAGGCTTCTAATAATTTTCATTAAAGGTCCACAATCATTTGAGCACTTAAAGATTATTCATGAAATTTTTCATACAACATTTAAAAGTGCAAGTATAACTTTAAGAATGCTTAAAGATAATAGAGAGTGGCAACAATGTTTGAAAGAAGCATGAAGAATTTCAATTGGATTTCAATTAGGAGTATTGTTTGTTGTTTTGATATTGCTAGAAATTTGCTAAATCCATTAAACCTATGGAAAAGATTTTTAGAAAGCATCTTTAATGATCTCAATGCCTATTAGCAAAAAGAACATAAAATTGGCAATTGAATGAAAGAACAAATTAAAGATTTTGGACTTTACTTGGTGGATAAGATGTTGCAAGATTTTGACAGAACGCTTGCATAATTTCTTCTAATGCCATTATCAAAAAACAATTAGATCGCAAGAGTAAATAAAAATTGATTTATTACTGAAGAAAGAGTATGGAACATTCAACAATTAAAAGCAAATTTGAAGCAGTGTATTCCATAATTGAATCTTCAACAAAGAAAGGTATATGATGATATTGTAGCCTCTATATTAAAAGAATATGGATGTATATTTTTTCAAATTAGACCTATGGAAACTACTAAGACATTTGTCTATTATATTTTAGTAAGTAAAGTTTGATTGATGCAAAAAATTGTCATATGTGTTGTATCATGAAGAATTACTGCATTGCTACTTGAGAGAGAAAGAAGTACCCATTCTATGTTCAAGATTCTACTAAATAGTAACAAAGACTCTTTTTGTTCAATTACTAAGAATTTTGACCATGCTGAATTTATTTGCCAAACTTTTCTTAGTATTTGGAATGAACTTTCAATCCAATATTGTTGTTATGCTAAGGTAGTTGATTGTTCCTTTAGAGACATTTAGGATATTGATTGTCTATTTGGAAGAGCTATAATAGATTATGGCAAAGATTTTTGCCTAATATTGTAAGTAATTATAAAATAAACTTGAGAGAAAATTGTATCATCTTTTCGACATTCGATACTTTGGTGTCAATTAAAAATCCATACATTAAAAGAAAACATGAAGTTGAATTTAAGAGTACTTCAAGGAGATATTGAATTTGCTAATTGGCTTCTTTAAGTATAGAATGCATTTATATATTCTAAATATAGATGGTGGTGTATTTGAATTCTTTATAGTTACATTACTATTGATTAATATTTTTATTTTTGACTTTTTAAATTAAAAATAATAAAAATTTATTACCTAATAATATAATTATATTTTTTGATTATATGATTATTGATTAACAATTAATGTCTTTAGTTGATGTTCTTTATCAAAGATTGGCAAAAGAAAATATAGCAAATAATGCCTTTTTTAGATATAGAATTATTTTATTTGTACAAAATGATGATGTAGAAGATATTAATGATGAGATTATGGCCATATTTTTTAGAGAAAAATAAAAATATCTCTGCGATAATAAAGTTGTTATCAAAGATGGCATCAATAATGATAATGTTTATCCAATTGAATCTATCAAGTCACTTAATCCATTTGGAATGCCCAAATCAAGGCTTTGTTTTAAGATTGAGATCCTGGTGATGCTACTAAGAAATATTACTTCTTACTAAGGACTTTGTAATGGATCCCAATTAGTAATTACACAATTAATAGATCCTCAAGTATTTCATACCAACACATATTTTAAATCATTGCTAAGCTTCTTGAATCGAGTTCTTGAATCAAGAATTCTTAGAGGAAAATTTGGTAAAAACTTAGTGTTTATTCGGCAGATTACATTAACTTCTACAACAAAGGAACTTCCATTCATTCTAAAGAGAAAGAAATTTCCAATCCGTGTGGCATTTACAATAGCAATAAACAAATTCCAAGGATAATTAGTGAAGCATATTGGTTTGGATCTACAATAACCTATTTTTTTCCATGGTCAGCTTTATGTAGCACTTTCTTGATGCACTTTTTCCTGTTCTATCAAGATTCTTCTTTGAAACAGAAAAGATGAAGTTCTGTGCCCCAAAGCCGCTGAGCCGTGCGTTTCCAGGGCCTCGAGGCGGCCGTGAGAAGCCGCGTGAAGCCGGGGTCAGCGTCCAAGCTCGCCAGTTAGGCGTTAGAATTCGAGTGAATGCTTTCGCAGCACCTCCTGCTGCATTCGGTGCCGTCGTCGCGATTAAGATGACGGCGTGCTGCTGAATCACAAGACTCACCCACATGCATGGAACAATTATCTCTATCACTTCATTCTCGATCCTCCTGATTCAAGCAGTTTCTGGAGCATAGTTGTTGTCGCAGGGTCCGAGGCATTTAGGCAGCAGTCAGTGTTGCCGAGCGCATTCAAACAATCATTTTGACGACGGATTCAGTGCAGCAGATCGGAGACGTGAAATGGGTGCGTCTACGAATCCATTACTTCGTGCTCAATGGTGCGATATTCCGCTTATCGTATAACTGGGTGTAGGACTTCGTTATGGAGCCCCGCATAACTCTCGCGCGGATTTATCTTGCATTTTAGTCTGAAATCCATTCATCCCGCTTTCAGTGCCGGATCGTTTCGTAGCCTCTTTTCACCACGCGAATGTGCCGAGATGCGCAGATGCAAGCCGAATATGGCATTGTGGTTTTGAATTACAGGGATGAGCGCTCACGATACGCTTGGATCTAACACCAGGACATAGTAGCCTCTCCTGACACGCAGAGTCTGTTGCAAGTACAATTTCGCCATGTCGCGAGTTTACAATCACAGCCAAAGCAGAACACTTTATCGAAAGTAACGACGGATATACGAAATCCGAATCGGGAAAATCACACTTACAATAATGGTAATAACACTGCTGCCATTTGCTGGACGTATTCGAAAAATAGTTAGGCCAAGGTCGACAAAGACGAAGAGCCGCATAGCGACGCTGATGGAGCTCAGTTTGAGAGGGGCTCCAGGCCTCTCTCCGTCCGTCCGCCCGGTGTTGCTGTCCGTGCCCGCCCGTCACGGTCCTGTCACCACATGAAAATCCAACCCAACTGACGGAAAACTTTCAAGTAAAGGATCCGTTGCTGAGAATGCGATGTCTGTGATTAGCGATTACGACCCCCAGTTTGTCGCCGTGGTCTAGCAGCTGTCTGGCCAGGCGAAGTTTTATTTGTGTTTTTAACATTTATTTTCTTTTATCCAGGTTTTGAAATGGCGTAGCTCGCAAAGATATGTTTCGTAACGGAGGCAGACCATGGCTGCATGATTTGGAGTAGAGTGTGTTGAATCAAGGTTGTGTTAGAGCGATCGTTTAGTGTAACCTGCAGCTGCTCATCCATCGCTCTCTTCACATGCTCATGCGTGATGAGGGTTGACTGACGCATGGGAGAGAGAGAGAGGAGCGCATTCGCCGCGACGAATTACGAGAGGTTTTTCTTTCAATTTCTATTAAAAGAGTGTTTAACTTCAGTAGTCTACTGTTGCGATCTCAGAACGATTCTTCTTAAACCTCGTCCTCAGCGACTTTGGGCTGCCCGTGCGATTGTCTCAGAAAGGTTACTGCCCTGGGGAAGTAGTTGGAGTTGCATTGTGGACGGGTATGAGAAGTTAGTTCGGTATCTGAGTTGAACACCTATGAAATCCCGAACTTGCAGTGTGTAACAGCAGTACTGACGCTTTGCTGCATGGTGGCCGGCGGACATGTCTAGGTGAAGCTATACTACTGTGAATTCATACATCAGTCCGTGTCGTTTTGAAGGGATACGACAGCTCCACGGCACGTGCGTCTGCTTCCTGGCTAGTATACAATCGCTGGTGGCTTTAGAAAAGCCATCGCTCTCTTTGGGAGGTGATGGAAACAAGAGCGGCATCACTTTTGTAGTTTGCTCGTTGTGAAGGAACTGTGTAGGAGCCTCTCCACTTTCTATGCTAAGAGCCCCCGGAACTCTCCTCAGCCTTTTACCTGTAGAAACCGCAATGTTCCGAGGCTATACGTGTGAGCTTGTGTTCTGAATTCTTTGCTTCTCTTAGTGAGGTTCTTTTGCTGAGTTATTTTGTAGCGGGAATGCGTAAGTTATGTTTGTAGCAAACCAGGATAGGGCAGGACTGTAAACCTTCCCCAGTTTTGAGCGAGTGTAAGCATGTTTTTTGCTAGAAACATTTTGCTACGGAGCCTGTTGTCAATTTGATCAGTTTGCTGGCCGGAATGAAGAAGGTCCGTTTCTTGAAAGAGAAAAGTAGGAAGGACACGATCGTGTTCTTGGAAATGCGGAACCGTTTTGTGCTTGCCATATCCCTTTTGGCATTTCTTACCTTGGTGCGATACTGTCGTTTCGCGAATTCGCTGAGGGGTATTGCTCCTCCCATTCATGAATCCTTGCAAGTGGACTCGCCCCTTCTCTCGCGGGCTGCGAAAGCCCAAAACTTAGTGCACGACAGGTATGGCTCTGTCATTAGGCAAGCCGGAACTGATACTATCATCTTAGATGAGCATGAAGCAAATTTTGGTGGAAGCCTTGATGGGGTCAGAGGTAAGCACAAGGACGGCAGGGGTGGGATCGAGGCTTTGTGCAAAAATAGATACGTGCATGTTCTGGACGTTCCAAAAGAATTCAACGAACAATTGCTACAGGAATGTCACACACTGAAGGATTGGAGTGACATGTGCGTGGCGCTCTCCAACGCCGGCCTCGGTCCAGCCATGGTCGATGAAGATGCGTTCACCAGCTCGGGCTGGTATGAAACCAACCAGTTTGCTTTAGAGGTGATTTTCCACAACAGGATGAGACAGTATGATTGCCTGACAGTCGACCCAAGCATGGCTTCGGCGATTTACGTCCCTTTCTACCCAGGTTTAGAAGCCTCTCGCACACTCTGGAGCAGCGACATAAAAGCCCGAGATACTATTCCTCTCAAGTTCGTGGAGTGGCTGCAAAAGCAGCCAGAGTGGGCAGCACATGGCGGAATCGATCATTTCATGGTCGGCGGAAGGATCACATGGGATTTCAGAAGGCAGGGGAATTCTTGGGGCAACAAGCTGCTAACTCTTCCGCCTATGCAAAACATGACTACTTTGGTGATAGAGGCAAGCACATGGAACACAAATGACATGGGCATTCCATACCCCACCTATTTCCACCCGTCCTGCGACTCGGAGATTCGAGCATGGCAGCAAAAGGTGAGGTCCTTCCAGAGAAACGTTTTGTTTTCGTTCGCTGGAGGCAAGAGAGACAACATGGCCAGGTTGATTCGAGGACAAGTGATCGATCAATGCGGGCGATCGCCGTTGTGTAAGTTGCTGAGCTGCGACAGGGGAGCCTGCCAGTCACCGCAGCCTGTGATGAAGCTTTTCAAGGAGTCGCAGTTCTGTCTGCAGCCTCAAGGCGACTCTGCTACTCGCAGATCTATCTTCGACTCCATGTTGGCTGGCTGCATTCCGGTGTTCTTTCACCCAGAGTCGTATTCTGGCTACGTTTGGCATTTACCCAAAAATCAGTCCGAATACTCCATCTTCATCTCTGAAGATCAGATCCGCAAAGGAGTTTTAACCGTTGAGAATGTGCTGCGCGGTGTGGAAACTGAGACGATTCAACGAATGCGAGAGCGAATTATTGGGCTTATTCCTAACTTGGTATATGCTGATCCTCGTATGTCAATCCTAGAAGAGTCGACTGACGCTTTCGGGATAACGATAAAGGTACTCACTCTCTCCTAGTTCCATTTCGTTTCGTTCTATTTCATTTCTTCAGGCTTCTTTCATGTCTAAATGTCAATTTTCGCTGAATTTTCAAATTCTTGATTAAGTAAGAAAGTTATGTGATGAGCTTGCCCACGTTGATAGTCTTGTTGAGCTGTAATTTATCTTTCTGTCCTCTTGTTGACAGTTGACAATAGAAGATAAATTTCCCACTATTTCTCCTCTGTTTTCTGTTAAGAATTTTCATACAGATTAAAACCAGTATCCACATCTCAATCGGTTGCCAGAGACAAATGCCATTGTTCCGACTACCATTGATAGTGTTCATCGTCAACTTATGTACGATAACTGTGTGTTGCTGATTTCATATTCTAGCATCCGCCAGTCTTTCACGACAGATTAATAATGAAACCTACGAGAAAGTCTGTTGACAGTGCTCGATTCTTGTGTTGCAGGGAGTACTGGAGACGATATCCCAGAAGAAATGGGCCACGGCACAGCAGTTCTAAGATCGACCCAGCGGCAGCTCAAGATCGTGTGTTCCAGACAACAGAGCGTGAGTATTCAGGGGCTGCGTGAGCAGAAACTCAAAAAATGTGTATAATGATAGCATTGATCTCACAACCTGAGTTGCACGAAGCGGCAGTTGTGTCCTATTCTGGACTCTATCTAAGGAGTTAGCACTGCACCATTGTTGCTGAGCCCACAGCTGGAAAAGCTCTTTAGATGTTTCAAGCTACAATCTGAGAATCTTGACGTCCTACTGAAACAAACTTTATTCCAGGAAACTCAAGAAAAATCACCACCTTCCGGCGTCGCACACATCGTGTCTTCCTGAATAAGACTCGCATTTATGCTAAAGCGCCCTCGCATGCACTTGACATCGAGAAATTGCGTCCTGGAGCTCTAGAGTCACAGGATCGCTATGTTAGAAAGGGGTTAGAACAAAGTAACCAACCCGCTTATATGGCGAGAATCTGTGGAGAATATTCCCTGTTCAGGGATCGCGCCGTTTCAAGCAGCACCACCTGTGGCAGTATAAAACCTGTCAGAATTTATCATTAAAATCATTAAATACAGAGATTATTATTCATTGAACTATATCTTGTTATAATAAGGATTCTAATACGCTAATGCTGTAGAGATCTCTAGGTACTGCTGCGATCGTTGCACGCAACCGCAGATCCAAAGTACCGAGTCCGCTGATACGTAAGGCGAGTTGAGACCCACCCAGCATGCTGAGAATGGACGGGCCGGAGCGACGAAGGTGGACGAACGTCTTCGTCGGTTGCTTCTCGTAGGTCTGGAGCCAACTTCGTCCTGGTATGGATTGGAGAAGAGTCTCGGGTATCAAGCCTATCAAGGGTATAGACGGTATCGAGGGTATCATATGGTATATCGGGTGCTGAGGGTATCAGGAGGGTATCGAAAGGATTTAGAGAGGGTATTAAAGGGTCTTGATTTGGTGGATATCCTCATAACTACTTAAATTAAGAATAACTACTTTAATTTTTTCATGAATTTTTCGAATAATTTTCAAAAAATCAGTTATGCCTTATTTTATTTTGTTTGTCAATATACATATGAGTTTGTAAGATCGGGAAATTTTCAAAATTTGGTGAATGAGAAACTTTGATTATAGGTTGTACTGTTCAGAACAATCAATAATGAGATTTTAAATTTGTATTCCTACATTTAAACGTGTATTAACTTAGTGTGCTCATTTAAATAGAGTGTTATTTTGTGTGTTTTTATATTTCATGTGTGGCTAATTCATAAAATAAAATCTATGTCTTGTTGCTCAATCTTTGAGTTGTTTACAAATAGTTCTTGATGTCCAATCCCATGCAACGTAATCAAAAAAATTGATTAGTGGCTTGTACAGAAAGTCATGTCTTTTGAATATATTAAAAATGATAAGATTTTTCATATAATATATATTTTTCTCAAATATATAATGTAATTTATTATATTAGATAACAAGGCTTCGGCAGATAAGATTCTATGTTTGTGTGTATGATATATATATATCTATGTGTAAGCATATATATATGTACATACACATTAATTTTTTTCAATCACCTCTTAGTCTATCCTTCGATAAAGTTAGTTTGCTTATAACTATGTTCTATTACTGAAGCTGTGTTCCAATATATCAATCCATTACTTTTATAAATTTTACAACATCACATTTAATTTTCCCAACTATATTCCAAAATCCAAATGCTGTATCACACCAAATCCCACAGTAAAATTGTACTATTCGACAAAAAAGGAGGAAATAAAGAAATAAATAACTGAAAAAATAAATAAAAATAATTTTAATACTCATTCCCAAATCCACTATTCCAAAAACGAATTTTCCGAAAAAAAAAAAAAAAAAAAACCATTGTGAAAATTAGAGAGAGATAATTGCATTCGGGAATTGGTTTTCTTAAAGAAACTAACGCCACGTTAGCAAGAGCAATGCCACGTAATCGAAATGATGCCACGTAGGAATGTGACGTGGTGACCTCCGTGGAACTTGTCTCTCGCGCTCAGACCGACTCGGCTCACGCTCGTTGCGAGCATTTCGACAGGTTAGACTGCTGCCCTGGGTTGTTGTATGAATGCCTCGCTTGCTCCCTCATAATCTGCTCTCCACATTCGTTTTAAACGGCAAATTTTGAGCGGTAGGGCGAGTTGCATGCGCAATTTGGAGGGAATTTGAGACGCCGTGGCCGGAGGAATCTCTTTCTGAAACGAGAAATGGAGAAATCAGAGGAGAGCAGGGAATTTGTCCTGCCTGACGATGAATGTCAGCCCGCTGCTGCTATTCAAGCCACAGTAGCCGAAGATAAATGCATTCACGTGGGTGCGTCCTCTCAGCTCGATGCCCCACCCTCTGAGGGACCATCCTCGCTTGCGGTGGATTTAGAGTGTCAGCCACAACCTCTTGTTGATTCAGATCCGAGACCAGCTACGTTTTGGAGAAGATTGCAGACAGGTAGAGCTATGTTGAAGGATTTCTGGTTTCAATTTTACTTGCTATGATTTTTGTGCAATGGAATGAACAATCGTAATAGGGTTTCTAAAACCCTAGGCATCGTAATGGCATGTTCTGTTTGGCTAGTGTGAAGTTTTGCTAATTGCTACGCAGTGTGTTAGTTGTGCTCCCAGCCTTTCATCCCAAAGCTACGTTGTAAGATGAATCGTGGGCTTCAGATAGGGGTTCAATTGACGAAGTTGGTGGTGGTGTCAGGTTGGTCAGAGGTGGAAGATCGACTTGCAGAGTGGTTCGGATTAGACCAATCTAAATACCAGTGGGCCGTCGATGAACTGTTGGAGCGCCAACTGGTGAGTGGTAACTTTTGTAAAATTTCGTAATGTGTAATAATTCGCGACGAAGGGTGTCATGTTCAGAACGTGTTTTCCCAGCCGTAGTTTAACTGCATACGTTGTCGAGTGCTTTAAACGCATCCTCTTACAGTCAAATAATTTTAGGATAGAATTATGCCACTTGTGTTATTCTCTTGCCAATGATTACAATGAGCGGAGACTCGCTGCACTCTAACCGATTGATCGGGTCCTAGACTCACACACCTCCGCTGTTGATGACTTCGATATGCTGAAACAGACAGGAGACCACCCTGCTTCCAAGGTCAATGTGGTGGAGCTTCAGATGCAGGAGATTCAAGAGCAGAGAATGGAGGTTTGTCCACGCTGTAATCCTTACTGTCACAACTCTCCTTTTGTATGTATATGTATGATGCAATTTTGTTACATATCCTTGGCAATTATGGAGGATTGGGTATGTTGAGTTCGCTTATTGTTACCCTTCAGTCATAAAATCGGTTCTCGGTGAATGCAGAGGGATTTAAAAGAATCCAGTTCTTAGGGCAACACCATCATACTTTAAAGTGAAGAAGCTGAAATTTGCTGAGTTCACAACGAATAGCATTTTTTCCACAAATGCACGCGGACACAAGCTCCAGTCCAATCCATTCCACGCTCCGCTTGGTTGCAGCCTCCAGACCTCTGTTCCGTTTGCCTCTTCGAGCAAAACCAGTTCCCGAAATTTTCTGCAGTCGAACTCACAAAACCCCTCTTGCATGGAAATCAATCACAGCTCCAGCGAAACCATAGCCGAATCATCATATCACCAAGGCGTGGAGTCCTACCTCAAGGCCTACCCAATAGCAGCACGAAGATTTCATATCACCTACTGGAAGACTTGGAATGCTCAGAGGTGCCCTTACCTTGGTGGTGCTAGCTGGGTGCCGCCACAAATGCCCGTAAGTACCCTTATCACGACACTGGTGATCCTTGAATGATTCTCCCTGGGATCATAGCCATGTACTTAGCTACGGTAATCAAACTACGCAGCATTGTACGTAGCGGTGATAATTCTCTTCCAGCCCGGGGGGCATCATACTTCATCCTCGACAGGACATTGTGGGTCGATTTTGGCAGGTTGTGAAGGTGACAAGATGGAGGTACAGATCAGAATCAGCGACCGAGTGGAGCAAAAGAGGGTGGCATTCCCATTATTGCTTGTGGGGGGGGGGGGTTACAATTATACCGGGAACTCTGTAAATGATACTGCACTGGAGTCCAGCAGACCTGGCTCTCGTAGTCTGTGCAAGCTCGCTAGCTGGAGCATTAGTCAGTCTCAACAAAGCTGTGGGCTGCAGACCACAAGAGAAACGCTTCGTAATGGAGCGGCACTTCCAATCCTGCAGAGGTCTCATCTACACGTGTATTTATATATATATATATATTTGAATATACACATATATATATATATATATATATATATATATATGTAGAGACATACATTCACAAATACATACACAGAGTATCTTTATTTCAAAGAGGGTAGAACTAGATTTCTCGAATGACAAAAGTAAATCCAAAATGCATCATTTGTTGTGCTCCACTCTGCCAGTGTATTTCAGCGCAGCGAACAAAATTTTCAAAATAGTATGTATGATTTATTCCCTCCTTACTAAACGGTAAACGGAACTCTCACGTCACTGCTTCCACTGAGAGCCTTCTGCTTACTAAACGGGTGCTCTAGACAACTTGGTCCGAATCCATACCGCGGGTAAAAGTTAAAGTAAAGTATCGCACAATTCTGCGCGTTATGCGCTAGTTTCGAGTTCTATACCCTTGTGGGGCCACGAGGGCCTGGAGTGCAGCAATGCCACGTGCATGTTGTGGCATGTGAAGTCGCAACTATGGCCTGCTGACTATTCACTATTTTCTGTTGTAGCTGTTGTGCTGCGTTCCTGTTGTTCACTTGCTAGATTGTTGCCTTAACGATGCTGCTCCATTGTGGGACCCTTGATTATCTTGTTGGGTGTGCTGTCGGAGGCATTGGTGGATTGTTTGTTGGGGTTGATCCTGTTCTTGCTGATTGCATTGCTTGTGCTCCCCTATATATGTTTCTCTGATTTTTTCTACCTCTATGCTATTCATGACCTCTTCACTGTTTGTTCTCATGATTCGGTTTGCCTAGGTGCTGGTCGCCGATGGCGTCCTTGGTGTGGGATTGGCTATTGAGGTGAACAGTGCATCTATTGCAGAGCGTAGGACTGGATGAGGGATCGGTAGGAGCTCCGGTGCCTTCTAGTGGGGGTGAACAGCTAACTCCAACGAGATGAATGGCTGTGGTGGAATCATTTTCCAAGTGAGTGGGTCTTGAGTAGTGAAGATGTTGTCATCTGTTCAGATCTTCATGAATAGAGCTGTTTTTTGTTGGTGTTAGGTAGAGGGATTAGGATGGTGATGTAGTTCTTGCCTTGCTTCGATCCCAATATGTACTGTTGTCCTCCAAGCTTTACAGAGAACTAGGCCGATATGAAATGATTCCCGATCTCTGTTAAAACTGCATTTAGGGCATTATATGTTCCATTTAATTAGTGTCTTGAGTAAGAACCATGGAGTTTTGTTGGAGAAGCAAACATTTGTGGGTGAGTGATTTCTGGTGATGCTAAGTTAGTACCTTCTTTGCGATGTGTAGTTGTATAAAAAGCTTATTTTTTTGGTGATTTTGTCGTGGCTATTTCCATTCCACTAGGTCGAACATGAGGGCTTGTACTAGGCGCTTTCTAGCTACATAAGATGTCTGGGATTAGCAAATAAGGCTGATGGGATTGAATCCGATGATTTCTTGATGTTTATTTTATTGAAAAAAAGAAGTCTAAAAGCTACAAATACTTAGAATCAGTAAGGATTGTACTCTAAGAGAAGTGTGGAGAAAGACATCTCTTACTTCCAACATCTTTTACTTATAGGTGGAATTTACATCCCAAGTACATAGACTTCATCCAGAGTCACCTTCATCTTTTCAATCTAAATCTAGATTCATCTTAACCTAGTCGCCACTTTAAAACCCTAGCCGTTGCCATAGTAACTTTTTTTAATCCTTCGGTGTCTTTTGACTATTAGCAACTTAATATGCTTAATCTTTATATAGTGGTAACTAAGTAAGAACTTGCTGATCTTTAACACTCTCACTTTATTAATTTTCAAAAGGCTTTTAATCTTAATCTCTGAATCAAGTCATGATGTCTATCCTTCACTAATGCCTTTGTAAGCACATGTTAATGACAAGAACTCGATAAAAAAGTAATTTAGACAAGTGAGCCTTCACTCAAAGAAAGGTAACAAAATATAAATAAACAAGTATGTATATTGAAAGAAAAATTGGAATGGCTATTACCAAAGACTAGAAAACATGAAGACTCTTAAAACTACACTGGAAACAAAAAAAGAGTTGACAAGAGTGAAGAAGGCTTCACTCTTGTCTCTATATATACTATCTAACTAAGGGCTATGTAGCGACATTCCATAGGACCTCCAATATGTGTTGACTTTATAGGACACATGCCTTGACTTACAAGGTAAGTTTTTCTACGTGTGGGCCACATAGTTAGCTTGGTCTTTAAGCTAACAACATGTGTAGCACATGGCTAACTTGTTGACGATGTTTCTAATCCAAAAAGTCAATTAAAGACACCTCTAAAGTCAAAGTAGCATCTATAAAGCTTCTAAGAAGCTTCCATACCAAATACTATAGAATTAACTTATTTTTATCTACTTTTATTTATTTCTACTTATTTATATATATAATTATTAGCTTTTATGAGTATGTCTGTGACATTACTCCCTCTTCTACGGACGAGTTCCACAAAGAGTAGTCATCATATGTTGAGAAAATCTATGATGCGATGAACTGTATTCGCCACATACTCTGATTTTTGTTCTCTTTGAAGATGATTGATAGGGCCTCTCAATCATCGATTGTGTCCCATACCAGGGTGGAAAGACCATCTAGTTATTTGATCATTGTTGAGGCCTTCATAACTTCCTTCGAATAAAACATTTCGAACACCATCAGGAGTTGTTCCTACCTCTAGTAAAATCACCAAACATCGAAAGTTCCTTTCGAAGTCGTGATATCAAACACGTTGTATCTTGCCATCTATTTGAGGAAGAAGATGTCGTTCTTGAAGTTCTTCATGTCGATTGTGTCATCTTGAAGGTTATGACAATCATAATGTCTCGTCTAGTAGGTCAACAAATGAAGGCTTTTGAGTCGAATCTGCTAGTTGTTGGTTCTCTATCTCCTGAGTGTCACAACTACAAAGAAGCTACAAATAAGGATTGAAAGTAGAATGTTATCTTATCTAGATCTTGTTTCTTTTATAAAGAAGATTTTTATCTTGGTTTAGATGGATGTCATTGATGAAAAGCCTCCACTGCCTTTGCTATATTTACAAGATTCTTTACTGGCTTCCATGTGTGTTCACTAATATCATATCTGCGCCAATGGATAAGATATTCTAATTTATTTTGGCGCTGCCTTGAATCTAAGACTTCTTCTACTTTAAATTCTTCATTATTGTCTACTTCTAAAGGAGTAGGTGGAGCTTGTCTTCTTCTTGATATGTTCACTGTCTTGTATGGTTCAAGAAGAGATACGTGGAATACTGGATGGATTTTCATTGACTTTGGTAGATGTAAACGATATACAATTGGATTGATTTGTATAGAAATAGAAAATGGTCCAAGCCTTCGATAGTCCAAGTTGTTATAAAGACGAGTGGTCTTAATATTGCGACAAAGTAACCATACCTTATCGCCCATGTGGAATGGTGGTTGTTCCTTTCGATAGACATCCACATTTATTTTTTGTCGTTCTTGAACTTCTTTTAATTGTACCTTTATTGTTGCATTTAACTCTGACAACCGATTTGTCATATCTTTTGTCACAAGATTATCAACTTTTGAGAAATCAAACGTGTCAAGTTGTGCATGATAATCATAATTGGCAAAGAAAGGTGTTTGTTGCATAGAAGAATGCACCATATTATTATAAGCAAACTCTGCCAATGGCAGAAGAGTTGTCAAAATATCTTGTTGATAGTTGATGGTACATCTTACGTATTGCTTTAAGACTTAGTTTACGCACTCTGTCTGTCTGTCAATTGAGGAAGAAAAGCCGAGGATAGTTTTATATCCACTTGTAAAATTTTAAAAAGAATTCTCCAAAATCTTGATAGAAACTGAGTTCCCCTATCCGATATAATATCCTTTGATAATCCATGATAGCGATAGATATTGTCAATAAAAAGCTTAGTTGTTTCTTCACCTATGATGGATTTTATACATGGTACAAAATGTGCCATCTTGATGAAGCGATCTACTATCACAAATATAGAGTCATAAAAACCTAAGCTTGGAAGATCTGTGATGAAGTCCATAGAAATAGAAGACCATGGTTGTTTTAGAATGGGTAATGGCCGAATAAGTCCAATAGGTCGATGACGAGGAATTTTTGATCTTAAGCAAACATCACATGATTGTACAAAATCTTTGACTGCCTTCTACATTTGAGGCCACCAAAAATCCCTAGATATCAGCTCCAAAATCTTATTGTATTCAAAATATTCTGCTGTTGGAAAGTCGTGACGAGCTTGAAGAACACGTAAACGTGTTTCTTCTTTTGGAACATATAGGCATCCTTCAAAATAGAGTAGGTTATTCTTGAACTCGAATTTATAGGGATCATGAAATTTAGAAGAATTATTCTTGATATCATGAACAAGAGGGTCTAAAGAGATACTTAATTGGACTTCCTTGAGAAAAGTTAAATCAACAATCAATGTTGATTTTATTTCTCGAAGATGAAATTGCTCTAGCTTCAAGAGAACCATTCTTTGTTGCTCAAAAGTTGCATTTCCTTCTTTTGGTGCAAGATAAGAACATCTAGACAAGGCATCAAACAAACCTTGTTATTTTTCTAGTCAATAAGTGATGATAAATTTGAATCTTGATAAAGACATGCTCCAATAAGCTTGACGACGATTTAATACGCATGTTGACATGAAATACTCGAGGTTTTTATGATCCGTATACACGATAATTGGACTTGAGGTGTCTTCTAGATAATGACGCCATTCTTAAAATGAATCCACAATTGCAAGAAGTTCTTTATCATGGATTTCATAGTTAATCTTGGCTGTTGAAAATTTCTTGGAATGGAAAGCTACTAGATGGAGCTTGTCATCTGCTCCCATTTGTGACAAAATGGTACCAAGGCAAAGTCTGATGCATCTGTTTCCATAAAAAATACCTTGGAGAAGTCGACACGATACAAGATTGGTGCAGAAATAAATTCTTTCTTCAAAGCATCAAACGCTACTTCAGCTTCTTTACTCCACTCAAATTTTTCTTTACAAGTCAAACGCATAAGTAGAGCTGCAACTTGAGAAAAGTTCTTGATGAAGATTCAATAGTAATTTGCAAAGCCCAAAAAGCATTGTACATCTTGTATTATTTTTGGAATCTTCCAATTTATGATAGTCTGGATCTTTTTAGGATCCATCATCAGGCCTTCGTTGGAAATGATGTATCCTAAAAAGTCAACTTGAGTAGTGTGGAATACACACTTTTTCAACTTGGCATATAATCTTGCATCTCTTAGTTTTTGTAATACATGACGAACATGGAATTCATGTTCTTGTGTGTTCTTAAAGTAGAATATGATGTCGTCTAAATAACAAACAACAAAATTATCTAAAAAATCATAAAAAAATATCATTCATAAGACGTTGAAAAGCAGTTGGTACATTTGTGAGTCGAAAAGGCATGACATTA